TCTTGAAAAATAGCCGTTTCTGTCAAGAGCTCTCTCAGCCCCACCGGTCTCACAGGGTGTTTCTTGTGGGGAGGGGAAGGGAAAGGAGTTTGTAAGCCGCTCTGAGACTCCTTTGGGTAGTGAAGGGCGGGGTATAAATCCAATCTCTTCTTCTTCTTCATTTTATGCACAGCTGGCTTTCCTCCCAGAGGCACCCAAAGCAGCTTATGATGCCACCTAAACAGACCTGTAGGCAAGCGAGCAACAAGGGAGCTGCCCTGGATGGAGCTGTGGGGCTCCTCAGCTAGCCCATCTGAAGGCCAGCAGTGAGCCCTGGGCTAAACGCCAAAGGGCTCTGGCTCCTGCCCTCTAGCTGCTGCCCAGGGGCTCACACCCAAGGCCCAGGCGTCAGAAGACACAGCTGGCAGTCCCGGGGCAGGCTTCCTGGTCCGCGCCTCTTCCTCTCCCCCCTCCGTGTGAAGGGCCATCAAGTTGTTTCCGACTTACAGTGTGACCCTATGAATGAATGGCCTCCGAAACATCCCTTCAGCCACAGCCTTGCTCAGGTCTGGCCAAGGGAGGGCCTGGGTGGCTTCCTCGGATGAGCCAGTCCCTCTCCGGCTGGGTCTTTCCCTGCCGCCTTCCGCTTTCCCTGGCACGACTGTCTTTTCCCAGGGACTCTCTGTCTTCTCAGAATTGATTTGATCTAGAGCCCCACCCACTCGCCTTTGTGGCGGCCCCCCCCCACCCCGGCAGCTGTGAAACTCTCCTGCAACGCCACACGAATGAATCCGCTTTCTTCACTGCCCAACTTTCACACCCAGACATAACAGTGGGGGATACCACAGTGTGAATGATCCTGACTCCGGCTGCCAGGGACACACCCTTGCGCTTCAGGGGCCTTCCTGGTCCCTTCCTGGCTGCCCTCCCCAGTCCCCGTCTCCTGCTGCCTGCTTGGTGTTTGCAGCCCCCTCCCCACTGGTTGGCGACTGAGCCCAGGAACAGGAGAAGTCTTGCACAATTTCAGTCTCTTCTTCGTCAACCTTAAAAGCTGTATAATTCCAAAGCAGTCACTACTTTCCATCTTTTTGATACTCAACTGCAATCGAATACCTGATGTTTATGACTGTCAGAACTGCCACCTGATATCCTCCAGTGTTACTCCAGAGACATGAAAACAGTTCCTTTTTATTGGGAACTGAATAGCATATTCAGGGACAAATGGATAAGGAGCACAGGTCCATCAGTGGCAATTAACCACAAGGTAGAGGTGGAATGTTTGGGCCACGGTGGCTCAGAGGTTAAGACACCAGGCTGCAGACCGGAAGGTCAGTAGCTCGGCAGTTCGAGACTCGAGTGTGCCGCATGACGGAGTGAGCTCCCGCCTCTGGCCCCAGCTCCTGCCAACCCAGCAGTTCGAAAGCAAGAAATTGCAAGTAGATAAACAGGTACCACTTCGGTGGGAAGGTAACAGCGTTCCGTGCACCTCGGCGTTTAGTCATGCCGGCCACATGACCATGGAAACGTCTTCGGACAGCGCTGGCTCTTCAGCTTGGAAACGGAGATGAGCACCGCCCCTTAGAGTCGGATTTGACTGGCTTTTGAGCAAGGGAAACCTGTACCTTAACTATAGGTGGAACTCTCTGTCTGGGACGGGCCAGTCTGGGGCAGTGATGCTCCGTATTCTTGGTGCTTGGGGGGGAGACAACCGTGTGAGGGTTTTGTGGAGTTCTAGCCCCACTGGTGGACCTCCTGATAGCACCTGGCTTTTAGTCCCCGTGTGACACAGAGTGTTGGACCAGACGGGCGGCTGGCCTGGTCCAGCATAGCTTCTCTTATGTTTTTAAATCAAAACTGCCCTAGCCTGGTTCAGACGTACAGGCCTCTCCCAGCTTCAGGAGCAGGTGGCCGGACTGGACCCATAACTTCTCATCATGCAGAGCAGCCGGGATCCACCGAGCCCTCACACGCGGGGCCTGAGTGGGCAGAGAGGGCCCCCCCTCCCCCCACTCCTGACAACCAGAATCCAGGGGTCCACTCTCCAAATACAGACCGCTGTCACGCTGCTGCCCTGCTATTCCTGCAAGGAGTGCCAGACGCTTCTCAGACCAACAGCCTCACAGCCCCGCCTCTCTTCTCCACAGAGAAGAAGAAGAGATAGGATCTATACCCCGCCCTTCACTATCCGAAGGTGTCTCAGAGCGGCTTACAAACTCCTTGCCCTTCCCCTCCCCACAACAGACACCCTGTGAGGCAGGTGGGGCTGAGAGAGCTCTTGACAGAAAGTGCTCTTTTTCAAGAACAGCTGTGACAGAACTACGGCTTGCCCAAGGTCATCCAGCTGGCTGCATGGGGAGGAGTGGGGGATCTGGAATTCTCCCAGATTAGAGTCTGTGCTCCTCATTACTACACCAAACTGGCTCTGAGACGTGGTGGGCCTGAGAGCACCGCGAGCTGTTTTGTGCCGGGCCAGATGGACCGTCCGTGGCTCTTGGCGCCCTCCGCTTACCATGAGCGTTTTCAGCTGTCCGAGGATAAAGAGGCTGTACTTGGCTCGTGTGATCGTGACATTCAGGCGCTGGAGACTTTTTAAAAACCTAGAAGACAAAAGCATGGCTAAGGGAGGGCTGAGCTCACAACCACCACCACCACTGCTTCACTTGAACCCGGCAGGAGGCTGTTCAGCCGTGCTTCAAAAGCCTATGAGGTCTGCGGGGCTTCTTCCCTGCTGATCCCCTCCACCGGTTCTCTTCTGACTCCTTGACCCGCTCGTCACTTGCACAAGTGCAGTTGGGCTGGGGTGCCGCCAGCACCCCCCCCCCAAAGCAGTGGGTACACAGATCAGGTCATGCTACCCTCCCACAGCCCCCCCCCCAACCTGACCTAGGGAGCACCCGCCATGCAATTCAGTGATGCTGCACCGGCATACCCTTCAATGCCTGTCTCTCGAAGGAAGCGCCTGTCCCAACGCCCCTGCCCCCCCCCCCCAGCGCTTTCCCAGCTGCTTGGAGAAGCATGGCAGGGGGAGGGGGAGGGAGGGACGATCTGCAGGCCCACCCGCCAGCCTCCGAGAGCAGCTGCAGAGCTCTGCCTGGCTAGTTCCAAGAGAGGCCAGTTCCTTGTGCTCGGGACGGCTTTAAACGTTTATGGCTCCACCGAGACACTTTAAACAGGTGAAGTGGCTGCTGATCAGATTTTCATTATCCTGGAACTTGATGCTCTTATGGATGCCGCCTGTACGGAAGGGAGGGAGGGAGGGAGGGGTCTCTTCAGTCACCCCTCTGCCCCTCAGCTGGCTCCTGCTCCACCCCCTTTCTTGGCTTCCGAACAAGCCCACTCCTCGAGGGGGGGAGGGGGCAAGAGAGAAAAAATCGGCTTCATTTCGTGTGTCGAGACCTTGGGATGCCCTCCTGGCATGACCCCGCTAATGGATTAATACTATTTGTCCGTAATCCATGTGAAAACTCTCTTTAATATTTCAGAGCTGTGTCTGAATGTTTTATTCATTTCACAGAGGTGATGCACAAAACAGGCAGGCACCAGAAGGGCCACCGTGACCTTTTCCCCTTCTGAAAAGGAACAAAAAACAGGGGGAACTCTTTTCCGAAAGGCTGGCCTCCCCTGGGCTCAGCTGTGACTCGCTGGCCCTCTCCATCTCTCTCCCCCCCCCCACTTCTGCCTGGGCAACCCAGCAGAGGCATGAGGCCGGAAGCACACAGCAGGGGCACTCCCCACACCGTTCGCAGGACCCAGGAGCAGCCGTGGCCGGAACCACGAGGAGCCGGGAGGGATGCCCTTTGGGGCAGCCGGCCGGTTCCTCCTGGCGTGGGGCTGGCTAGAAATGCTTCCTGACCGGACCTTTGCCCGGGCAGCTTCCGTACTCCTGTTCCAGACATCTCCACCTGTTGGCCTGTATCTCTAGCCACCTTCCCTGGCTCAATGCACCTTCAGCCCGACTGCCTCTCAGCCAGCCCCGTAGCTAGGGAATTCTTTGGGAGGGGGCCTCGGGGGGGGGGCACCAGCTAATTAAATGGAAGTACAGTGCAGGTGGTAAGTTGGAGCACTTTGGGGGCAGCCCAGGAGGGAAGAGGCCCAGAAGAAACACTAGGGGGCCGGGCCCCGTAGGCCCCATGTTAGCTACGGGCCAGCGTCTCCGCTAGGAACATGGGCATGCACACTCCCAGACAGACCACCTGGGGATTTCCAGGGAGGCACACCTGACAGCCCCCCCCCGCCCCCGGGGCCTGCTGCAGCTCTGGACTCCGCCTCCCGTCAGGGGAGCACGCAGAGAGCAGCCCCACTTCCCGGTGACCTCCCCGGCCCTGTTCTCTTGGGACTCCCTCGGGAACGGCGGGGGGCAGAAAGGGGGGGGGGGGGGGGAGGGGACTGGGCCTCTGTCTC